AGAACCTAGAAAAGGTTAGAAAACGTTTGTTTTTGTTTTGTCGTTCGTACCACACATTATATTGGTTCAGTGTACGTGTTTGATATATAAGTGTGGTGAGTTGTGAGTTTTTTATAAAGTCCTAGAAGTTATCATAGCACAAATTGGGGATGGACTGTAGTTCATAAAGACAATTTTGGAACTGTTAATGTATTTGTTTGAACTATGTTGTTCTAAAAATGATTAGTAAATTGTGTAGTATATATAGAAAGTAGCAAGTAATTTCATTTACACTATATGGGCTAGAAATTCATGATAACAATTTGTTAATAATTATGATGTAGTATGTTATGTTAATAATATTTTTCAAATTTTGATCATCAGTAAACTATGTAAATAGCTTTGTTTTTAATTTTACATCTAAGTTTGATATAGATTCAATGTGAATGTGATATTAAACAGTTATTTTTAACTCAGCTAAATCCTCTCTAAACCAAAATGATTATTGATTATGTGAAAGGAAGTCACCAACAGCCAACACTGATGATCAAAATGACCAGGGTCAATTGGAAATTGAGAGGCAGAGACTAACCTATTCAATATTCCACCCATCTAAAATCCATTGGAATAATCACAGCTGCTTCAATTAAATCCAGTATTCACTATGTTATGCAGAATCACAAGAGGGCTAACACTTGTGAAAAATTTGGACTTGATTTTGGACCAAGCCAAAGATCCTGCAATCATTCATCTAACAAAATGATCATATCTAATTCTTCAATTATATACAGGAAGACATTCTTAAATCCAATTAAACCATAAATTTTGTCATCGTTTTGTCAATAAAGTATAAAAATATTTTAAATGAATATGTAATTTGCCTTCCAAATAAATTTTGCATACAGTAAATTTTTAAAAATGAAAATCTCTACAAATATTAATGTGTGAAGTGTACACACATTGTTACTCTGACATGTGATATGTGTACTTGTAGTCAGAAATGAACAAATTAAATTACAGTTTGTATAAACACTATTCCAAATATACATTCACTTGCTTAAGGTTAAATGGGAAGGGTTGATTTCTAAAAAAGTGAAAGGACTGATTTCTGAGACAAAGATGAAAAACTCAGAAGGGTTGTTTTCTTTAATTTTGATATGTAAGGTGTAATAACTCCAACTTTGTTACATCTAATCTCTTGCTAAGTTTTCATCCCTAAGTAATTCCTATAAACTCAATGCATTTTGTGCCTCATACTGTAAGTCAAAACAGTTTTGAACATATGTTTTGCTAACTCAAATATGATGTTATGCCTCTTAATTTGAGAATGCAAAAGATAGAAAGCAATAATTTAACAAAAGTGTTGGTATTTGCGCATTCTTCTACTAGTAATTAATTGGATTGTATTCAGAATGTCAATGACAAATGACATTTTATTATAACCTTCACCTTACAACATGGATCTATTGCATAGACTCCATCCAGCTGAAAAATACAGTAATATGAATCCAATAATACATCATTTTCTTGGTAATTTTGTTCCAAGACCTGGAAAGAACTATATTAGTTCCCTACCTAAAAAGTATTTTTTACAATGGAAATATTCATTTTATTAGACTACTCAATAAATAGATATTAATCATGCAAGTTAGACCATCATTACCCTTGCAGTCTGGTTGGTTGGCAGCAATTGTACATAAAGTGAATATTTATTATGCACTAAACCTTACTGTAGAGTCAGTTTTAAAGTGATTTTATCAATTAACCATAAAGATTATTCTCTGTGATACAAATTGGAAAAATTGGAATTGTTCTTTCAATAAAAAAAAATTCTAATTTTTCCAATTGATAAAAAGATTTTTATTGTTGGACTGCAATTTGAAAAAATTGTAGACCTATAAATTCCCATTGTTATGTCTGTCTGTCTTTCCTTAATCTCAAGAAAGGAGTTACATAGATGAAAGATGACACCAGATAGGGAAACCTTCAATTAACTATATACAAACTTCCAGTTTGCACCAGAATTCACATTATTTCAATCCAAATATTTTCTCCTGAAAAGTGTTAGATAGAAGACAGGCACGACTCTATTATTAAAGGAAAAGTATGATGTACTGGGGCAAACTGAGTTTAGGTGGAGAGCATATGTTTTAAATTAAATAAATTAAAAATTGCAGTCCAGCATTGTGACGATGGCACAATAAATAATTGCTCGTTAGTTTTACTTTTAAATTTAATCTTTTATTCTGAAAATTTTTAGTATAAATTGTATGATTTTTGTGAATACGAAATATAGTAGAATCTCATTTTAATAGATTGCTTGGGCTGCCAAAAATCATCCATTGTTCTAAGAATCCATTGTATCAAGCAAGAACAACAGATTTCTTGCATATCCATGAAAATATCCATTATTTAATTCCCTACATATAAGAAATACATGTACTTGAAATCATTCAATCTTTTGCAATATCTATTTTTTACTCTATACAAATATGCATGTTACAAGATTATATATTATACTTTACATGTGTATGATAAAGCTGATGGAAACTGTACACATTGTAAGCATAAAAAGAGGCAAATTACATTTGATCATTAGCACTTCATTCAACAATTTGTTAGAAAACTCATCCATTTTGGCTTGTTTTAATGCTGCTTTTCTGCCTATTGATTACAACAACGACTTGATATATATATATATTTTTAAACTCTTTCCGCCCTGTGGGCACTAAGAGGACCTCTTTTTGCAAGCCCATCATGGCTTCGGCCAGGCCCACAATGGGGCTGCCGGGTGGTGAGGGACGGAGCCTGACAAATCCGAACAGACCTCCCCCTGAAAAATTTCTGCGGATTTTTCGACCTGTTTGGATTCGATCCTGGGTCCCCCAGAGCGGTAGGCTGCCACCTTGACTGCTTGGCCATCCGGCCGCCAACCACTTGATATTAGCAATGTCATGCACAGCCTATTCATTTACAACGAAACTCGTTAGGAGGGTCTTCACAACTTGGAAAGACTCGGTGACCTTGCTAAATTCTGGCACTACCTGCATCACAATGTTCACTAGGTGGTTCCTCCTCAATTGTATCATCCTGTTGACTTTCCTCATACAATTCTTCAATTGTACTGTACAGTACATATCCCAAATGTATCAAGTTCATCATCAAACTGTATAAATTCCCAGAAACATCCAAATATTAACTAAACATTGAAAAAATGCAGTTTACAATAGATGAAGTTAAAAAAAATCCATTATTCCGAGTTAAATAGCTGTTAAAAGGAGGTAAAATTACATTGATTTGACAAAACCCGAGGAAAAAATCCATTATTCCGCAATCTGTTAAAATGAGATTCTACTGTATACTCCACTAAATCCAAATTATTCAAAACCTAAATGTATATAACAATAAAAATCTAACAAAATTATATATAAAATGATGTAGATTTATTTATTTGTGTTAAATTCACTCCATATGCAATAAATTGTCTCTTTATTCAATAAATATCATTAAAAAATTTTAGCATGTATAATTATTTTAATATGTAAGATACAGTCAAGTCTTGGTAAATCTAATTTTATTGCAGAAAAGTGCCACTTAATGACACACCACAAATACTATAAAGGTTCCATTCAATTATAACAAATCTGAAAAATTTGTAGCCACCTGTACCTTTTCAATGTTCAAATGTGTTTGGATATGTAAACACTTATCTTTATGTTGCATACAGCTTATATTAGTAGTAGACTATACCATATAGACTTGTATAAGTACACTTAATGTATTTCTGAAAACATATCCATCACTAAGTGACACATACCTGTACATCAAATCTATTGTTAAGTCAAATTTTATTTTTATTCTTATATATCGCCCATAAACTCAATGTATTTTGTGTCTCTCTAAGTCAAAATAGTTTTGAGTGCATATTTTGCTAATTCAAAATCTCTCTAGTGATGTCATCTCAACAAAAAAGAATGCCCTCGCTTCAAGTTTATCTCATCTCAACTTGACCCTTGTGATAATCACATCACTTTGGTTGATAATTTTTTTTATGTTAATGCAGCTGTTAACAAAACCTGATAAACAGCAAGTGCTTTCTAAAGGTCAGAATCCATTTTCAACATCACAATGATGCGCTGAAAGATATTTGGGAAAAGTTTACAAAACGGAAACTGTATCAATAAGAATCACTAGACAGACTTTCCACTGCAGTTACCTGTGACAGTTTTAACTGCTTCTCTTTTTGCAACATAAAGTGGAAATTGGTCCTGAGAATATTTTGTTACTTTGTATAAGTGCATATCAAAGAAATGAAAATATAATGAATTTAAGTCTAACTGTAATGTTTGTGTCAAGATATTTATGATCTCAATAAAATAATGGTAATTGTTACAGTTCAAAAATCATCTCTACCCTACCACTTTGACTTATCAAGAATCAATTGTATTGGGTTTATTGTTTAATACTAAAATACAGGCTAATTTCCCTCAAATATTTCTAGTTTTATACTTTCTGTAAAATCAATTTGTTCAGATATATGAATAAAATGTTTGGAGAATGTTGGTTAATACTCCAAATTTCATACGTATATGCTTGAAAGGGCACTGCTACTACACAGTGGTGATCTGTACCACCACTACTGCACAATCAAGATTACTGGGGTCCCATTTCTTGGTCTGCCTATCACCTGACATCATCTCTTTGAACTGTTTTCATTATGGGCAAGCCAAAGATTGTGTGTATGCTACAGAAGTGCCAAAAAATGAAAGCCCACACAAAAATCATGGATGCCACAGCATGACTCCTAGCATGCTGGTTTGGATGTGAGCTAAAATCAAGTACAGATCAGATATATGTCAGGAGCATATGTAGAAATGTACTGATTTAATGTAAGAACTAACTTTTCAGATGCACTTTCTATACCATTGTCTACAGTATACTCACATTTCTTTTCCCAAAATTAATCCACAAAACTAAGGATGTTTGAGGGAAACATGCTGTACTTTCAAGGAAAATCTTACCTCAAATATACAAACGACCAAACGATGTATCACTTCCAAAGTAACAATTTCTGATGTCACTTCTAAGGCCGCCTTGATGTCCATTTTCTCATCTCTTATTAAATTTAAATCATATTTATCTAAATTTCTATTAAAAAAACAACACATTTTATATTAACAAATACTGTTTAACAATAAAAAGGAGTCTTGTTGTACTTACACAATTTCAAAAAAATCTACAGCAATGTACGTGACCATTATTTTTAATACTAACAATATAAAAAAGTCAATTGTTTCTGCTGCAAATCTCTTCCATAACGAAGGTACAAGGAACTCTTGTCCTGCAAATAATCAAAATTAATATTAAAATATAACTAAAGCAAGGATGTTATATTATTTTACAGTATACAAAACTACTTTTTGTTAAAGAAAATACTTAATTATGTAGCAATAAAATTACACATTTTAATCTATACTCTTATAGAGCAGTGATAATATTTTATCAGTTTCTTAACTGTATAACTTATTTGTATTATAACAATAGTTTTGGATTTTGAAAGCAAATAACTGATAATAATCAGCAAACAATGGCACTATATTATTCTCTAGCACAACAGCTCTCAAAGTACAGTCTGTGGATCACTAGCAGTCTAAGACCACACTCCAGATGGTCCTTAGGCTGACGTAGTCACTTTTCCATAATGTAATTTTATGCCATTTATCTGGAGGAACAAACATTTTCACACATCATGTCTCTTACATTACATTATCAGATAGATACGAGGGCTATTTTTTAAATAAAGTCCGTTTTTTAATAAGAAGAAAAATACTGAAAATATCATTAAAATATATTTTTTCCCATATTCTACATACTTTTAGCAATTTTTCTACATAATTTCCATGTTTGTTCAAACATTTGTCATACCGCTCAAAAATTTTTTAAATTCCGACTTCAAAGAAATCTGCCGCCAGAAGACATTAGGCCATGCCACTTGTCTTGTATGGTATAGCGGAGTTTTCTAAGGTCACACAATAAGCATCAGAATTGATTGTTGTGCCTCTTGGCATAAAATCCACTAACAAAGTCCCTTTTCTGTCCAAAAAGACAGTTACCATGATCTTTCGTGCTGAAATCGAATAACAGATTGTATCTTACAGTCAGCGGATGACTCAATTTTCGTAAACATTATAAACCGCTACAGTTCGCCACACAGACAGATGATACGGCTGCAAATGGCATCTAAACAAGCGCAAAGCATGCTTAAAGCAGATGCTCATGCACACATGCAAGGTGATAATTATAGAAATAAGAAGTGAATGAAAGCATTTGTCTGCACTTCATCTGTGAATTGGTTTCAATGGTCCACAAGTTAAATAACTGAAAATCACTGCTCTAGTTCACACAGTCAGTTACACTCTGGATTCATGTGTTCATCTCCATTTTTAGTCACTTCTACTACATTTTTATGCAGTATTAATTAAAATAAAGAAAATTGCAATCTCATTTATACTGATTATCGATTTGCATACTTAATAAATTCTAGCAAGTTTTTAAAAAAGAGATAAAAATCTAAAGAAAAATTATTGTATATGCCAGGACTAAATTCTTTCATGCTTCACTGGAAAGCAAAGAAACCCTTTTTCATTAGAAATAATATTGTAATATTAAATATTGTGTCTATGAAACCTTTATGTTCCATTTGTTTAAATGCATTCTTTAAACAGCAACGTCCTTAAAATTGTGAAGAGTGTATCAATTACAAACTCATTTCTATGAAACAGAAGTACAAGAGCAGGTAAAGATCTTACAATTCTGACTTGTGTATCTTGCTCTAGAAACTGTCAATGATCCAGCACAACTGAAAATTAAACAAGACTTCTAACAATAAGACAAATCCTTCATTATAATGTTCTAATTGATGGCATATGCAAACCTCAGTTCATTTTATTTATGTACTACAACATCTAGCAATCCCATAACATGGCACATTTATGCCATACCATATCTAGAGATGCCATACAGATGTGATGTCCACAGGTATCAATTTTTTACATGTAAACTTCAAACTTATTTTATAAGTTGTTCTGTTTTTGTATTAAGAGATTCTTAAGATAAGAATTCTTCTTAAAAAGATTAAATAGGTAAGTTTATTTTTGATTCCTACAAGACTGTAGATTAATTTCATCAGGAGTGATTGTGTGTCACAAAAGGGGTGTGTGTGTGTGTGTGTGTCAGATTTGCTCAGTGACAAGGCATACATTTGTGGGCTTAGACATCAGATTTCTTTATGTTTCCTCCATTCAGCTCCAGGAAGAAGCATAGACTTTTTCAAATGAATATCAGAGAATGATTTTTGAGGTACTCATTTGAAAAGAGCCTCTGATATTCATAAAGGAATCAGATGACTCCAAGTACTGGCTACTTTCAAATGACTATAATAAGACAATTTAAGAAGAAAACAGAACCAGTATTATTCACAATGTTCTCTTCAAATGAAGTAATGCACAACTGTATATCAATTTTTCCATTTGCATTATCTCCATCCAGTTTTGGGATGCATTCCTTTTTAAAGTATCTTAGAATAATTTTACAGGTAAAGAAGCACAACACTAGCCTCTACATTCTGTTCCCACATCAACAACAGAGCATATTCCTGCTTCAATAGGTGTTAAATCTCTTAATGCCACCTCTAACTTGCTCCAGAAGCTATCCAACTCCTTCCAAATGAGTGTCAGAGGATAAGAGGCAGCATTTTCTTGTGCAATTACCAATGCTCCACAGCACCTATGGGATGCAGGGATGCTTCTTTTAATTTTCTCCACATCTACATAGAATGCATTTCCTGGTCAAGAAGCCAAGTAAGCAAAAATGACGTAGTTCGTTTCATATGAAACTATCTATGTCATTGGTTTGCTTATCTGCTTGACAAGGAAGATTTGGGGTGTAGATTTAAGTCTACATAGCAAACGTAACCCACACACCAAATACAGACCTTGAACGGGAATTTGTCTATTTGTGGCTTGTTGAGATCTGTTAACGGGTTGTAGATTGGTCGATAAATTCTGATTTGGGACGAAATTCGGGAAATTCCTATTGAAATCCGGCGTGTTGGAACTATTCTGAGCCTGATACCAGGACTGCAAAACCAGCGTGGGAATGGAAGCCGAGAAACATTGCCAATAATAACACTGCCATAGCCATTGATTAACCGCATTAGCGTATTCTCCGGCGTTACGATAAGTAGGAATTCCGTCTTTTTGTCCGTTAGATCTCTTGTTTTGATCATTTCTCTCGTATAGCACACTCGACGCCATCTTGTTCCCTACTCGATCTTGCGCCACCTGTCGTTTTAATTTACTTTTCAAAAATAATTATATAATTACATAATTTTTATTCGCATTCAATTAATTAAAACGATTGTAATTTTTAAATTATATGCACTGTATAATTTTTTAAATAATAATTATTGGAAAAATTCACTCGAGATTCGAGTGTGAAGTAAAAGCCGCCATTAAATGCGGATGAAAATTTTGAGCATTTTTGACTCCGTTATATTGAATTATTTGATATTTTATAATTTAAATTGAAACCCGAAATCTTCTTTGCATTAATATTTATAATAATAATAATTAGACGTGAAATATTTCGCGAGAACATCTTAATACATGGAAATATCTATACCCATGCTGCTTAAATTTTTATATAAGCAAGAACTAAAGTTGAATTTATAATTTTAAATTTAAAAACAAATTTCAAAAGTTTCCGAAAAATGTAAACATTTTCGTAATAATTAGATGGTTTCTAACTCTTTCCGCCCTGTGGACACTAAAAAACCCGTTTTCAGCAGGTTCATTATGGGTTCGACCATGCCCACAGTGGGGCGGCCTCATTTCTAACCATTCAATTAAGCTATTGAGTCTTGCCACATCAATCACGATAAAAAATCTCTTTATTGTCTACAACAAAAAATATTCAGACAAAAATAAACACTGCAAAAACCTAACAAACCAGCGAAAAAATTATACACAAAGTGCGAACATTATCGCCCGTGTTATACGGGCATTTTCAGGTAACAAACTGCTGAGAAGACGCAGGGGATTGTCGAACACGTGTGTAGAGGGACGGGGTGTGTGACGTAAGAAGAATGAAGTGAGTTTATATTTCGTAGAAAGACTTCCAGGAAGTGGGAAAAGAGTCAAGGTCGCGATAGTTTATGGCTCTGTTATGGCTTGTAAATTTCCACTTGTTCTAGATGTTTAAGCAAATGTAGTTTAGATTCGTAATGTAGATGTGTCTCGTGGAAGTTCACCTGCATGCTGACGTTTGTTGCATTGGTAGTTGTGTATAATTTTCTTGCTAGTTTGTTAGGTTTTCGCAGTGTTTATTTTTGTCTACTATAACCAGTTGTTTAAAAATATTCAGTTAATAAATAACTTTAGCATATATTTTTTCTTTATTCATTCTGCTTAATAGGCACATCGTTTTATCATATTTTAATTCTTGACCCTTTCTAGCCTGTTGACATCAAGAGGACCTTCTCAATCATACTCAATGTTGTTTGGCCAGGTCCACAATGGGAGCAACTGGATGATGAAACACAGGGCTTGATATATCAAGAACAGACTACCTGAAAAAATTCCTGGAGTTTCTTAACCATCCAGATTCAATTTCAGAATAGTAGATCTGTCTCGTCTAGACATTTTAAGAAGCCCTTATTTCAGATTCAGGAATTTGGTTGAACCTACACAAAACAATTGAGTAGAGAAATGGAACTTCATTTATCTGGACCAAGACCATTTATGGAAAATTCTTCAACTTGAACAAAGATTCTTCATACCAATCTGAAAGACCGTTTTGAATCCAACTGCTTTAGCCCATTATTCACAAATATATTTTTATGCCTATGGAACATTAATTTTTATTTATCAACTAATATTACAACAATTATTATTCACAAGAAAATCATTTATAAATGCTAAATTTGATTAATTCAAGTAATTGAATTACTCATTAACATATTTAAAATTATGTTTAAGTAGTTATTTAATACAGCAATTTGTAATTAACTGAAAAATAAAAACAACAGAATAATCAAGCAGAAGTTAATATTAATGATAAACAATTGCCAGATTTCAATAGGCTATAATAGTGTTACTAATTACTAATTTAATAATTAGTAGCATTATTATAGCCTGATGTAATCTGGCAATATTTGGCATTAGTCTAAAAATCAAGTTAATGAATGCTTATGTCAGAAGTTAGCATGTCACTTGAGTGATTAATTAAAGTGAAGGTACCAATACATTAAAGTTACATGGACCACATCCTAATCCTGTCCATTATGACAAACCTGACTCTCATGGTTTGGCCCACCAGTGGCCGAGTGGATGAAATCGACAAACGCTGGTAGATGGTCGTGGGTTTGCGTCTCGCCAACAGGCTGACCAAATGGAGTTTTCTGGGTTTTCTTCGTAGTTGGGTCAGTTTCCCATAAAAGTCCTCCCAGAAGGCATCCCCTCTCGGTCCATGTGTTGCATTGCCCATACAAACAAAACTAAACAATACTAACCAGAATGGGTGAGGATTGGGGAATGATATTATTCATGATAAATTGTTGGAATGTAGAATATTGTTAGCCTATTCTTGTACTGATAGACTGATAGTTACTTTTTATAAAGAATCCATGCACAAGTTACTGCACATCCATTTGGATGTGCAGTAACTAGTGCATGGATTCTTTATAAAAAGTAGATGATTGAATGATAGGTGTCATTTGTAAAGGAATAATCAATTTACAACATCTTTATAAAAACATGTTTTTTGTGAACATTTCTCATGGAAAATTCTATATTTTATATTATTCATAAAAACTGTATCAATATTACATAATTTATTTTTTAAAAACTCAAACTTACATCCATACATTTCAACTTACAGTACAAATAAAAACTAGGAAATGTAATGTTATATAACTCACAACAATGATAGTCTTCAGGTTCTGCATTAACTTATCACATTTGTGCTCACAAAACTTAATGAAAATGAAAGAAGTTTACTGAGTAACAACAAATTTTTGTTCACTCTTTCTTTGTATTCCTCAAAGCATATAGTTCTTCGGTCCATTTGATAATCTGAGGATTCTGAAATTTACCTGAAATAAAAATTAAATATTTAGTAAAAAAGAATTAAAGTTCTTCTGTCTATATCAAATTAACAAATCAGAAAGTTTGAAAATGATTTATTTCCATAATTAAATTGATAAGTGCATCTCCAAAGCATACAGATTAGGACAATGACAAGTTTATTATTAATTTTTAATGAGCAATGTATTTTTAATTCCTGGTAATCATCACCTCATGACATTTTTTAAAACAATTTACATTTTTTACAGAGGTCATAGCCTCAAATCAAAAATTGCCTCCGTAAGTGAAGATTTGTGTTATTTTCATGTCAATGGTGATTGAAATGGAAAACTGTGAAGACATTTTTTGTATTCTTCACTTACAATTTTACTAATAAGTTTGTTTGCAAGGAGTTGACTTAGTGACCAGGGCTGCAGAGTCGGTAAAAAACACTCAACTACAACTCCGGCAAAATTAAATACCAAATCATTTTATGGGGGCAGAGGCACTCGTAGGGGGTTACCCTACTCTGAACTCTGAAAGGAGCCCTGGACATTTACCCAAATACTTTTATAATTAGTATTTTTAATACAGTTGTCCCTCTATAGTCCGACGTTTTTTAATCCGACATGCTCAGTAGTCCGACGCACCTCCTGTCAAGGTACCCGTCCCCGTTACGTGTCTGCTTGCACAGAAGCATGTTGCGATGTGAATCTCCCCATCCAATTCTTACTCGATGACACACATTTCGTGTGTTTTATGTGAGCAGTTCTGTTCGAACAGTTGGAGTAGAGAATATTGTAAGTTACTGCTAGCAAAACAATGCGAAATATGTAATTATTTTCGGTAATCCGGACACTTTTGGTAATCTGACACACCTTTGGTCCCATATCTGTCAGATTATCAAGGGACAACTGTATTTAACTTACATTAATATTTATTTGTATAAAAAAGTTAACTTTTAACAAATATTTAATAAGAGGAAAAAAGGGGAGCGATAAAATTCTACATCTATATATCTTTATTCTACAGCTTTTGCACTTTAATTTCACCTTTCCAGAAAAGTTAGTCCAACTAAAAAGTGTGCAATCTAGCTACTTCAGTCCCTTGTTCAGAAAAGAAAAATGTATATTCTGATCAATTAGCCTGGCTCATTCAGAAAAATAGAGTACTTATTTAGAGCAGAGATAATAAAGGAATGAATCAAAAATATTCAAATTCAATTGGGTCAAAATAATTTAACTACTAAACACAAATACTACAAAGAAAACTATTGATACATACTGTATTTAATAAATTAAATTGTTGCATTTTGTATTTAAAATAAATGAATTATTACAAATTACAAAAACATTTTTAAAAATTATTAAATATAAAATAAATTTTCTTTCATTTAAATAAAAATAACTAAATTAAATTTAAAATGCCAGAGTCAACATTTTTCCCGACTTCAACTCCTCTGGCCAGAAATTCCTCCTGACTCCGACTCCACAGACCTGTTAGTGACGCCACTGTTCTGTTAGTAGTTGTAACAAACACTCAAATCTTGAACACTTACTTACTGCAGACTCAAAGGGCAATATTTGAAACTTCTTGTTGTGGTCTACTCCTTGAAAGTAAACTTTATATTTGATCATACATATACTATAGTATCCATTGCTAGCAGATAAAGTTAGATTGCAAACTTTTATTAATTTTGAAATTATTTCTAGAAGAATAATGCATAAGAATCTTACACAGTCTTTGTGGCTCTATCAACAATAAGCTAAACACATCTCAATACTATTTATGCCAGCAAAGTTTTGATGTTGTATATCCTGAACAACCACTGTAATGAGTAAATCCTTGATTTATGATTGATTAAATTCTCATTTTATATCAAAAGTTGGGGCTTTTTGAGAAAAGCCCCAACTTTTGATGAGTTGTGAGAAATGAGTAGTAGCAAGTGACCGCAACAGCTGTGAGAATTTATTATTGCTCATTTTTGTGAAATCACAATAATTGGTATTAAGACTATTATGAAGGTGAAAGATTACTGCATGAGAAGGAAGACAAAAAACACCAACTTAACAATAAGTTTATATACAATATATATATATATGAGAAGGAATATATATATATATATATATATATTGTAATATACATAGGTATATTTACACACTTACAAAAATCACAAGATGCACTAGGACACATAGAAACACCTATGTTCCAAACAAACTTGTCAGTATTCAGAGCTGAATATGATACGAGTCCTTGCTGGTAAAATGCATGTGAACCTATCATAAAAATACTCCTCAGACAATGTCCACTATTTGTAGTTCACTAATTTTAGCACAAAGTTCTAAATGTCCAGTGATTACCTTTGTTGATGCGAATGGATTTTCACCTTCTATCCGATAATACAAAAAAACTGCACACACTTCTAACTGCACTGCACGGTTACTCGGTGCACCCTAACACAAAGAAAATATGCCTTTGTAGCCTCACCAGAGCAAATCCTCACTAGGCAAAAAAAAGGTCATGTTGCCAATCTGTGTTTCCTTAGTACCCCTTCCCTCACAATAACATGCTGCCAACCCCTCATACCAGGGATGGCCAACACGTAGACCGCGATCGACCGCAAATGTTTTGAAAGTAGCCCGCAAAGCTAAAATTGAACAATTTGCTTTCACTTAAATTAATGTTTAAAAATCTTAATTTGATAATTTATTCTTACAATAATAGACTGTCTGTGCAACGTACCCATACTGTTTGTATTTATCCTGATGAATACTGGTGAGTGACACAGATATTAATGATGGTTTTCAAGTCAACTAATTACGAGATTGTGGTTCGTGTATGAATAAAACTAGTGAAATTGATGAAAATGAAACAAACAATAAATCAATGAGTAAGAACAAAGCAAATGGATCTGAGGCATTTGCTGTTTTCTTACTTCCATCTTGTGGATACTAAGAGAGCTTTTTTTATTGATGCAAATGAATGTTAACGCATGCGCATATTAAAATCCTAAAATTGTTTGCCCATATTCATAGTCGCCCACAGACTATATTTTACCAAAAAAGTAGCCCCTAAGGGATAAAAGTTTAGCCACACCTGCCTTATACCATAAAAAAATAATAATAAGTATAGCCCAAAAACTGCAATGACACATTTTTCAAGCTTTTATACAGTAGAACTTCAATAATCCAAACTGACTGGGTCCAGATGTGGTTTGGGTAAATGACAATTTGAATGCATTGCATCAATATAAAAAAGAAATAAATAAATAAAAACTGCAAATGAGTGTTATGGAGTAATACTTTATTTTTTACTGAAAGAAATAATCGCTTACTTTCCTTTTCACAATAAGAACTTCATTTATTTACTGCTAGATGCCTGTTCCATTTCAGAAGAAGCATTTGTGTGGGAGAAGGCACAAATACTGTTCAAACCGCATCACTGTTGCCTCCAATGTGGTAAATGAGACCACTGAATGGTTAAGGTGTCAGCCAGTCATTTTGCAGGTTGTGAGAACAAATCTGGTCAGATCAAAAAACTGGTTTTTTGGGGTCCATTGATTCCAGGATGTCAGGATTCATCCCTCATCACCTGGTTGTTCCATTGTGGGCCTGGTTGAATCCATGATGGGCTCAATAAAAAAAGCTCTCTTAGTATCCACAAGATGGAAGTAAGAAAACAGCAAATGCCTCAGATCCATTTGCTTTGTTCTTACTCATTGATTTATTGTTTGTTTCATTTTCATCAATTTCACTAGTTTTATTCATACACGAACCACAATCTCGTAATTAGTTGACTTGAAAACCATCATTAATATCTGTGTCACTCACCAGTCATATAAATTTTCATCACAATCTCTGAAACCAACATTGATTGAGTTCATGAATTCACTTCTTGACTTCCAAGTTTCTCTCCTCTCCCATCACAGTCTTTTCATCATCATTACACAGTCTTCTGCTGAAAGTTTCTCTGGCCAGCATGGTCTGTCCTTTTATGCTCACTTTCTACGTGCATTGTGTGCCTCTGATTTCTTCTGAAATCTTCTAAGGGCAAGACTTCTTTGTGTATGGATGAGTGAAGCTTTCACTTGGTACTCTTTATTTACAGGTTTGGTGAGATAAAAAAAAAATGCCCATCTACAGGTCTTATGGCCTGAGGCACCTTCAGGAACTTTGTTCAAGTGGGAAAAAAACCCATATCCAATGATTGAAGTCCCAATGCAATCATCAGTAACTTAATTATAAATAGAAAGACCAGTAAAGAAACATAACTAGCTTTCCATCTCTTTTTGTTATACTTTGAGGAATTCAAACAAACAGATAGACAAACTGACAAGCAAAATAAACCTACAAAAATGTAAATGAAATATTGGTATCAAGTAAGACTCAAACCTACAACTGATATACGAGGGTTGTTCAAAAAGTATCAGACCTTTGGTCGGCAAAAATACATTTATTGATTTTGAAATACAAAACCCTAATCCCCTTCAAAGTACATGTAACCCTCGTATAACACGGCACTTCTATAGCACGGATTCGCTCTAACACGGTTCGAGAATTGGTACCATCCCCCATATAACACGGTACTTTTATAGCACGGATTCACTCTGACACGGTTTGAGAATTGGGTAAAACCCTCGTACAACAGAAAATGTAATAAATTTTTACATACTTAACTAATAATAGTTCACAAAAATTATTATTTTTGTGAACTATTAGTACTTAATATGTAAATTTTCTCTTCTCGCCTTCTGTCGATACAGGTGGTCCTTCTCGAAACGTGTTTCAATGTTGCCAGATGGCGACGCTTCTGCTTCTGATGTTGCCGAATGTTTTTCCCTTATTCCATACTTGCTTTATTCTTCATAAGTGCTTAGCACCATATAAGGAAATTTATAAAGACCTTTTAACTAGAAGCAAGCAATCTAAAATTACATACATTTTGCAAAAGGTAAAGCATGGATCTGAAGATAATGCAGAAAAATGCTCAGAGGATAAGGATAACTTGCCAAAAAAAAAAAAAAAAACGCTCTCGGTTAATTAATAGTGTTTTTAGTGATGACGAAGAAAATATTGTTTAATTTATATTAATATGTATCACTTAAAAAAATTTTAACGAAGATATTTATCTTAATTATGAAAATATACTAGCATGTTTTTTAATTTTTGGAACCTAACCCTCCTTTTCGTATAAGTTCTTTGCTTCGTATAACACGGATTCACATAACACGGCAATTTTTTGGAACGTAACTACCGTGTTATACGGGGGTTATCTGTAGTCTCCTTGGTAGTGTATACACTTCTCCCAGCACTCCTGCCATTGCTGGAAACATTGCTGGAACACAGTTTTTGGAATGGCCATCAGCCAGTCCGTCACATTCCGCATGATGTCTTCTCTCGACTCAAATCGGGTTCCTTTTAGCGGCATTTTCAGTTTGGGAAATAGCCAAAAATCACACAAAGCCATGTCGGGAGAGTACGGAGCATGATGAATCACAGGAGTGTTGTGTAACGAAAGTCCGAATCAGATGCGCAGAATGGGCGGGTGCGTTATCATGATAGAGCTGCCAAGTTTTGGTTGACCACAGATCCGGTCATTTGCGTCGCACAGCATCACAAAGACGACGAAAGACCTCCTGGTAGTACTCCTTTGTGATGGTTTGGCCTTGTGGTGCGTACTCACGATACACCACCCACAGGAGTAAAAAAACACTGTCAACGTGACCTTGACATTGCTGTGGACCTGCCGTGCTTTTTTTGGCCTTGAGGATCGTCCCCGAAAGCCTGCTGAATCTTGTGAATGGTTTCCGCTTGGGTATCACCAAGCTTTTGGCAAAATTTGATGCAATATTGCTGCTCATGTTGTTCAGTCATTTTCCAACTTAGTAGAATCCGACGAGTGCTCACTACACGTCCTCACTCATAGGCCGACTGCCAGCAACTGACGCTTCCTGCAGGTGGAAAAAAATTCAGGACTGTGCATGACTGTCCCCTCCACAACTCCACTGAAAGAGGACTCCCGTGCATCATTGGTTTACACGGAAAAAATAAAGGTCCGATACTTTTTGAACAGCCCTCATACATTGCAATGATAAACATACAACTGTAATATATGTGTAAGTCTGAGAGCATTATAAATTATGCCATTCTATTTATAGAAGTCTTAGGCTCAAATTCCATTCTGGATCAAGATTCTTCCAGATTTTCCTAAATTATTTATTAATTTGAAATTAATCTAATCATTAAATTCTTTACAAGGCAGCAACATACTTTCAAGACCAAGTTGCTTCAGATTCACTGAAACAAGTCAAATTTGACAGAACTGAAGCAGAGATAAAAAATGTTTATTTTATTATATAGCTTGGACTTTTTTACATTAAAGTACATTTATATGGATCAATTCAAATATAATGATCATTAAATAGAAGATAAATTGAAAGAAACTTAAACATGTAAACCAATTTTCAACATGATCATTTGATCATTCAGCAGGTTAATTCAGTTCGATCAAAGTAGAAAACTGATGAATCTAATCAGTCTGCTAAATGATTTGAATTAAAATAAAACCTTTTCACTTTAAACTGACCTGTATATACACATCCTTAAGGGAAATCATAATAACTTTTGTCAAGTAGTAGTGAAGAAAATGTCTCAATGACTACATACCATTAGTGGTGTTGAAGAATTCTTCTAAACTAGATGGTTGTTCCAACATATCTTCATATTCATATGCCTGAAGAATCATGTCAAATCTATCTAGATCTTTAACAGCTCTAGATTCTGGTGTATTCTGTTCTTCATATTCCTTAGCAAAAAAAGATAAAATTATTAAAACTATTTTCACAATCTTCAGTTTATCATAGCAAACATCTTTTAATATAAATCATATAGTCCCAAGGATTATTTACATATTTAAATAATAGTAATACCATACAAACAATTTTGGGTTAATTTTAATATTTAATTTTTTTTTTAAATTCCAACCAGACACAGATGCGCAAACAACCTGTTTGTTGATGTTTGTACAACCTGAAGATATCCATATATTTTGTATCAACTGGATAGATAATAAAAAAACACACCTTTAAAAAATCCAGCAATGAAATTTAATAAATAATAACGTTTTTGATCAGTTTAACTGATCTTCAGTTATGATAAACTAGAACGTGAAAAAAAAAAAAAAAACATATATTTTCACATTCTTTTCTTATTTATTCTCATGTTCTATTCTTAATCTCAACTATGATTTTGGTTATTTATTTATTTATTTATTTTAGAATACTTGTTATAGTTTATTTTTAAATTTTTGTATTTACGTTCTATTTTATCATTTATGATCAGTTAAACTGATCTAAAATGTTATTACTTATTAAATGTCATTAATGGATTTTTTTAAAAGTATGTTTTTTCTTTTTCATTAACCTGAAGATAAAATACAATTCTTCATTGAAATGACTGATGATATGAGATTAAAAACACATACTTAATACACTTGACTCTGAACACCACTTTGAAGTCCCCTAGTGGAAATTCAGGAATTAAACAATATTTACATAATTACATAAATCTATAGTCCTTCAGATGTTTAAATACAACCGAGACCAGAGTGAGATTTTTAAAACTTTTAGTGCTGTGTGAAGTTGGAGCTGCATCCTACAATACAGATCAGCATCAAGTGTATTAAGTCTGTGTTTTTAATCTCATATCATCAGTCATTTCAATGAAGAATTGTATTTAATCTTCAGGTTGTTTGTCATCTGTGTCTAGTTGAAATTTTTAAAAAAATATAAAAGATTTAAATTGACCCAATATTGTTTGTGGAGTCATTATTATTTAAATATCTTTTAATGTCTTTACTTATTAAATATCATTGATTCTTGATCATCTTATACTGTTTCCAAAATTGTGATAGTTTTCTAAACCAGGAAAGAGTATTCTCATTTTTCTATTAATTCTTGAAATTAATGAAAAGGAAGAAGACTCTTTTCTTAATAAGGCCTTCATACATCAGTAATTAGAGTTATAAAATTACATTGAATAAAGGAGAAAGACTTTGAAGTTAAGTTCCTAAAAGTATTTTAAATTTAATTTCTGAATTATGTTCTTTGATTCATTTGAATTTTACATTAGCATTGTTTGTTTTGAAGTTTGAAACAGCTGCAGGCTTAGTGAAAGATCTTTAAGCTTGCCTGTATAATTTACCAGATGACCGAACAAAATTAAAACTTTCAAGATTGAACTGGTGGTACCTGTCACACCATTAGTTCATGGAATTGCCAAGTCTTACTCATGCAATTTCAAACTTCCCGTGAATTCCATTTTTATTTAATCATCCAGTAATTTTTAAATGTTTTCTTATATAATTCTAAATGAAAATATAAAATCTTTATATATTTTCTTTATTAAAAATATAGTCAGATCTCTGTATTCATGCAATTTGTATTCACAGATTTGACACTTTGTAATGGCAGTCATCAAATTGATTGTACTAAAAATTTAGCTTCTGCTCATTGCATTCATTCTGAGTGATAGTGGGGCACATCTTCAGTTTCACAGCTGATGATCTTTGCCTGTTGCCTAATGTTTAAAATAAAAATTATCTAAATGGAGAACTTTTTGATTAATATTAAATTTATGATAATTCCAAACATTAGAAAATGTTCTTAATTGTTTATGAATGAGAACAACTGAAAACAACTAAGAATTAGTCTTTTCACTTGTTCTTAATCAACAGATGGTTCCAAAATTTTGCTTGAAGGTTTCCAGAAATAAAAACAGATGCTTTGAATATTTTACAGTGAAAACTTAATCCACAATAGGAAGAATTTATGAATAAGTAAGAAGTTTCTAAAGAATAGATAAAACCATCTTACATTTTTTAATATGCCATAGCATTATAGTGTTTTTAATGTTGGTCCTGTTAATTACATGGTGTCCAAAACATTACTGTGTAATGAAAAATATTTAAGTAAAGTTTTAATTAATGTAAGTGAGGATTACATATAATATTGTAGTTTCTTCTATAGCAAATGCTGAAAATGTCCCCCAGAAGCCCCAAAATCTAGTCCAAATGAGGTCTGGCGACCTGGCAGTTCAGATTTCATGGGAGATTATGCAATCAGCAAACTACAGTTTAAAACCTAGAATTTACTTTATAATGTTATTGCTAGTGAGCAGTAGTGTTGTCTACTGCAAAATGGAAACACAGAACATAAACATACAGGTCTCATATGCAATGCCATATAGATAACTTTGTTAGTACAAATTTGTCACTGCATAGTAACTTTTCAGATACCCTGTATAAGAACCCAAAACTATAGATAGATAAAGACTTTATATATTGCAAGATCTGTTCATTATTCCAATTTTAAATATCTGCTGATCATACACTTTTATGCAAAATGCTCAAAAACAACTTTATATAACAGAATAATAAGTTTCTGGCAGTGAGATTGAAACGTTAGAATTAACATAACAGTACTGTACATAATTTTTAATATTTACCTTCCACAAGGCAAATATCTCCTCACCAATTTTCTTGTCTAATAATGTTGTCAAGTGTATCATTGCAGCCTGGAAGGAAAAAAATTGATAAGAAACAAAATTATAATAAATTATTATGTTTATAAACCATAATTTATCATAGTGTAAACATAAAGAATATGTCTATGTATAGAGATATTCTTTATGTTTACAATAATATATCTCAATTTGTATTTCCCTATATGTATAGAAGGAAATACAAATTGAGTTATATTATTTCTGATAGCATATTAAAAGTAACCTGCCAAATCTTGTATAGAAAAAAAAACCAAACAAGAGAAAACAGTTGCTGAGATCCAATTAAAGTAAATCTGAAGAATAGATTAATTATTAAGATCCATTATTTAAATTGAGATACAGAAACAAGGATGAAGAGCTTTTGTAGATCTAGTAGAGATATGCAAAAGATATTTTTACACTTTGAGATATGACAATATGGTGTTAATTCAGTGTTTTACTAAGCTGATTCATAACCTCTAAATATAACTGAATTAATTGAAAAAATGAACAAGACTCAACTATTATACCTGTTGGAGACAATTACCATCAAATTCTTCAATTGATCTGCCATCCTTTGATTCAGGATCTTATAAACTCTAGAACAAATAGACATTTATAAGTTGTCTAGTCTAAGCAGGGTGCTTGTATTAATTTCAAAGTTATAGAAGATATTTCCAATGTGTGGAAATCACTCTACGAGATGTTTCAGTACCTCAGGTGACCAAGGAGAACCATGCTAATGTTTACTGTTTACTGGTTAAATACATCTGAAAACATTCGGTGATAAAAGCTTTGCTGAAACAATAAAGTGTAAAATTTTCTTATATAAAAGAAATCCTGTTGACATTATTAAAGGAAAATATATTCTATGTCAGAGAAAATTATATAATTTGCATTATTAACATAATTATAATCACTTTTTAACTTTGCAGTATGGCTATAAAATGATGTTAAAGCACAGAAGCATGTAAAGAGATAAATGGATGATCTAGAATAGTCAAACAGAAAGATAGAAGACAATGAAAAAGGATGCTACAGGAAATCACAGGTTTCAGTATTTTCTCATACGTTTCTATTTAATGAAACATTTGCTTTGATAGTTTCACTATTAGAAATCATGCAGTTGATCTCAGTGGAAAATGATAATTCACAGACAGGTATGCATGCAACTATCACAGGATTAATGCTAAAACTGTTCCTTCTTAGAGCAACTGTTATTTAAAATCATTACTTCCAAGAACAAAATGTATTAAAAAATAATGTAAGAATATATAAGTGAGTAATTTCTATCATTACTTTAACTGTATTTTGATCATTTTGCACAATTATACCTTTTCTTTCTCATGCTTCTCTTCATTTGACACACCACAGTGTGGTGTGATGTCTCCAACAATGCACTCAGCAAGATCATGTACAAGAGACATCTTTACACATCTGTAAAAAAATTAAATAATTATAAGCAATGGTATTTTTCCCATATTTATTATTACTATTATTTTAAAAATTCCACATGCACTGTACTTTTAACATACTTATCTTTATCTAAATGTTGCGATCCATTGTCACTATTCAGCAACATTGCCAAAACTCCCATTCGGTACATGTGGTCTGCCACACTTTCGGCATCTGGAATGTTTCTCATTACCCAACCAGTCCGCCTCACTCTCTAAATATAAATCAGTTATTAAAAACATTTAAGTGATATGTACAGAAATTTAAAAATTTTTGCACAATTACATTTTAATGTACAAATTTTAAATATGTACAAATTATGAAATAATATATTATGATCAAAAAAGTTCTAAACCATATACTGGAAGAATTGGCAGAGTTTTTGGAGTTCAATATCTGACAGAAAACAAGGTACTCCAAAAACAAATTTTTGAATTTTTTAATTTACAAGCAAAATATCTCACAAACTTAGATGCAAAATGAACAATGCAGAAATATAGATTGCATTGGCAGAATGTGCTGCGATAGTAAGGTTTCCATACAGTATTCAAAAGATGGACTCCTTGAAAATGAGACCTGTCCTCCTTTTGGATACTATATAGAAGGATGTCCTACATTGTAACTTTAAAAAAATTGCCCTCTATTCAAACACATCTTTAATGTTCTTTTTTTCAAGAATAATTGGTCTTCCATTCATAAAATTTCACACAAGTCTATGAAATATGACTATAGTCATAACTGAAAGTATACTATAACTGTAAAAGCATAAGGTGCTCCACAAAAGTATAGAACCACTTGAAAAATTGGTCTTTTGAGGTCAGAACATGCACTAATAGATAAAAAGATTTTTTATGCAGCACCTAACTTATAAAAATGTAATTTTAGGAAACTTGAGCTTCTAATTCGTGGCCAACTGCGGAATAGCAATTTAGTCAATTTACATACTGCCACATAAGTATAGAACAGCCATCTTTCTTGCAAGTTTGAAGTTTGAAAGTACTTTTTTTCATCATGTCTCGTGGTACCCATTTAACAGACTCTGAGAAAGGAGAAATTGTAGCTTTGAGAAGCACTGGTTTAAGTCATCAGGCAGTAGCAAATGGCGTCAAGCATTTGAAAAAGGTAGTTCAGCATTATTTGTCAAATCCTGCAAATTATGGATCAAAGTGTAGAAGTGGACATCCTTCAAGCTTACCCCATGAGACCACAGACAAATTGTTAACAAAACCTCTAATCCACCGTGTCCACGCATCAAATTCGAGATGATTTTGGTATTCAAGTACATAAATTAAAAAACCTTCGTAGACGAATACTGGAATTCATATAAATTAACACTCAAAACAGTTATGCATGCGTGGTAACATGCAAGCTGAATGTTCCATTATTTAAAAAACCTGCCTATGCTGTTCCAGGTTTTTTGAAAATAATTTCGTAATTTTTGTTCTTTGAATTCACTCGTTCAAATCTCACTGGTTTTTTTAAACCCGAAGAAGACCGAAAGTACGGTAGAAAATGTTTGTTTTCTATTAAAGATTTAGTACTGGACTGTTAAGGTTTTTTGAGTGTTAATTTGTATTCAAGTACATCACAAAATCATTTGGAAGGTTTTACGCAACAACAACAACAACATCGTTCAATCTCGAACGAGAAGTGCCTCCGCTCTTAAGTCCGAGCACAAAGCTGCCCGACTCGATTTTGCTAGGAAAAATACGGGCATTCGACGGAATAAGGTAAGCTTTCTGTTTCGCTTAGACCTATCGCGCTAGCACAAGAAATAACAACCTTTCTGTCATACAGGTAATCTTTACGGACAAAAAAAATTTAATTCGGACGGGCCAGACATTTTAGTATTCTACCGGCACGACTTAAGAAAAGAGCTCAAGTATCGATACTTTTTGCAAAGAATCTTTGGCGGTGGGAGCGTTACGGTTCGGAGTGCTTTTCTGCATCGGGAAAATCGGATTTGGCATTCGTTACCCGTCGCACAAACAGTGTCGACCGTCAACAAGTTCCGGAGAACAAATTGCTGCCATACAAACGTAGGCTAAAAAGAATTTCTGTTATTTTTCAACAAGACAACGCATCTATCCACATATCACGAGATACTAAACCGTGGTTTGAAAATAAATGGATCGGCCGGTTCATTCTTCGAATCGAAACCTACAGAAAACGTTTGGGGATCTCGGTTGGCCGAATTTATGGCCAAAATCGTCAATAAGTTATGCCGACGTCGAACAAGCAATTGTCACTGCTTGGAACTCCCTCGAGGCATCGATCATAAAAAACTTTATTGATAGCAAGCCAAATCACATTTTGGATGTTATCAGTAAAGGACGTGCGCAAATAAATTATTAAATTAAACTATTTTGTAGTATTTAATGCCTTTTGCATTTATTTTCTTTTGTGATTAACATTGACATATATATATATATATATATTAACATCGTAAAAATTATAAAGATTTACAAAGAAATATATATATATATAATTTACATTTCTGATCATAATTTAGCGTTTACCAGAAAATTTGTACCTTTAATTTTCCTATCAACATCATAAATTCTACCAGTTTCGAAGGCATGTTTCATTACCATACAACAACAAAACCACGTGTTCAACTAGTAGGACGACATCTAGTGCTAAAAAGGCTATCAAAAATTGATTGTATTTCTTATGAAATTGTTACTCGATTATATATTTGAAGTACATTAAATTATTTTTCATCGTTAAAAAATAAAGAAAATCGTCATATAATTTATATTAAATTAGAAGTTACAGTGTACTTTAACTTTTAATTCGGAGATCGAACGTTGCAAAGAATCTTTTAGAAACCAACGGGAAACGATCATACTATGCTTTATTACTAACGAAACAATCTCCCTAGCAAGATGAGCGCAAGTAGAAATAGAGACAAGGTCGCGACACCTTGCCCGTTATGGGGAAGAAGGGGGCTCCACAATTGGAACTTGGAACATGAGGAGCTTAAAGTCGATTACATAAATGACAGAAGTAACATAAATGTTAGAAGTTACAGAAATTACATAAATGATCGTAATGGTCAGAATTAAAGCGGAACCAAAAGATCTGGTACTCATTCGAGTATATACGCCTTCCGGTTCTCATTCAGATGAAGAGATAAAGAAAATATACGAACAGGGGGAAGAAATTATGGAAAAGCAAGAAAGAAATGCTCCGCCTATTGTTATCAGGAGATTAAAATGCTGCTGTGGGAAACACGAGATAAGAAAATATTGTAGGAAGGCATGGATTGGGAAGCAGGAACAGGAGAGGAGAAAGGTTGATTGAATTCTGCAAAGAACATAGTGTGGTGTTTACAAATACATGGTTTCAAACGCACGAGAGAAGATACACGGAAAGATCCCGGGGAAAGCAACAGATACCAAATAGACTATATACTAATTAAAGATATATATAGAAATTCTATTAAGGATGTAAGCACCCAATCAGCTGCAGACAGACTAAGATCACGACGTCTTATTCGCAAAACTCAAAATGAGCCTGGAGAAGATCACAAAAAGGAAAAAGACAAGTGAGAAATGGGATTTAGAAAATTTGAAAAGGAATAATGAAATGTTTGGATTAGTATCTGAACAAAAAATAAAAAAAAAATAAATGAAGAGGATGATGAAGGACCGAACGAATTGCGATATCAATGAAAGGAAATATCTGTGCCACAGCAGAGGAGCGGGGAAAGAAAAAAATCAAATAACTCGTAAACCTGGGTTACGGAGAAAAATTATGAATAAAATGAATGAAAGAAGAAGGTGGAAGATGAATAAAATGAATGAAAGAAGAAGGTGGAAGATGAATAAAATGAATGAAAGAAGAAGGTGGAAGATGAATAAAATGAATGAAAGAAGAAGGTGGAAGAATGTGAACTCCGAAGAAGAAAGACGAAAATATAGAGAAATGAACAATAAGCCGAGAATAGTGATCGAGCGAGCCAAAGCAGCGTGGCTTGAAAGAGAATGTAAAGAAATTGAGTCTGGACAGGTCTAAAAGATTTGAACTAATGTATGATAAAGTTAAGAACGCATTCTGGTTCAGAAGGGCTAAGAGAGCAAATATTAGTGACAGAAATAGAGAGAGTATAAACGATAAGGAGAAGGTCCAGCATAGATGGCACGGTGATCTGTATAGAGCAGAAGATTATGTGAAACTAATGGTAGAAGAAAGTGATGTGAATAAAGATGAAGGAACACACTAAAGAAGAAAGAAAACACCAACATTTCAATGTATCTTTCTCCTAGAGGAGAAAGATACATTGAAAAGTGAAAGGAATGTTGGTGTGTTTTATAGATCTAGAGAAAGGGTTTGACAAAATTGACTGGGAAAGATTGATGAACATTTCGAGGAAAAAAGAGTAGATTGGAAAGACAGGAGATTAATACTAAACTTGAACAAATATCAGAGAGCAGTAATTAAAGTGGATAGTCAATATAGAGAGAGGAAATCAAGATTGAAAAGGACGTTTAAATTAAGCAGGGGTGTTGACTATCACCACTTCTTTTCAACACATACTTGGAAGAGAAGATTGTGGAATATCTAGAAGAAGAGAAAGGCATTAAAATCGGAGGAAGGCAGATTCAGTGCCCGAGGTATGCCGATGATATGGCAATTCCGACGGAAAGCGAGGGTAAAATGAGAAAGATTCTGAGTGGACTAGAGAGGGGATATGCGGCCTTCAAAACGGAAAGTAATGTTAACAAAACCAAAGCGCTTTGGATCGGATAAAAAGAAAGGTCAACATCCGTATAAATGGTGACAAAGTGGAACAAGTGAACGGGATATCCGGATGCTTGGCTTGACTCTGAGTTCAGAATTGGGAAAGTGTAAAATTCCCGTGAATCTTACGTTAGTAGTGCCTGAGAAGTGAATGGACACGATACTTAGAACATTTCACATTTATTTAACATATATCGGGTAACTACAGAACAGGGTTCAGCGACAATCCAAAAAAGGGGACACTGCCCTCGGTTACAGGGTTTATATATCGGGCGTCTCGCCCTCGGGCGCTGCGCTCGACGCGCCCTTAACATGTCGTGGTAAGACACGACATGACAGAAAGATATCGAGAGGAGAATTGGTACAGCGAAAGAGGCATTTAGCAAAATTGAAACAACTTTGTGTGGGCTTCTGAAATTAGAATTGAGAAAAAGACTGGTCAAATGCCACATCTGGAGTGCTTTCTCTATGGTGCTGAAACTTGGACCTTGAGACAATACGACATTAAGAGAATAGAGGCCCCAGGGATGTAGCTGTGGAAATAGAGAAGAATAGAGAAAGTCAGCTGGAGCGATAAGATGAGAAATGAGGAAGACCTAAGAGCATGGATGGAAAAAGGAGCATATTAAAGACAATAAAGAGGCGAAAAGCTAATTGGATGGGACACAATTCGAGAAGAAGGCTTACGGAATGATGTTATGGAAGGAATGGTTGTAAGCAAAAAGAAACGAGGGAGAAGGAGAATTAAAATAGTGGATGACTTAAAAGAGGGTAGTTATAAGGAGCTAAAGACAAGAGCGTAGGATAGAGTAGCGTGGAAAAAGAGGTGGTGCTTCTTTAGTTTTCTGCTATACTTAGCAGAAAACTAAAGAAGCGTACTGTATATCATTCATTATGATTTGGGTGATGACTGTTAATCCGGCAACAAACAATCGATAGAATCATTTGTCTCAAATTTAAATGTTTATTAAGTAAGGATTTTGTAGAATAACGTTTTTTCCGCTGCAATTTGAAAAACATTGTAGACCTATAAATTTCCATTGTCGTCCGTCTGTCTAGCCTTCCTTAATCTCGAGAAGAGAGTTAGATAGATGAAAGACGAGACCAGATATGGAAATCTTATGATTAACTATGTATCGTACGAACTTCGGACACAAACTGTAAGCCACGTTATTTGAATTCAAAACTTCCCCTAAAATCAATTAATAGAAGACAGGTACGACTCTATTGTTAAAGGAAAAGTATGATGTACAGGGACTAAGTTGCTGTAGAAAGCGTATATTTTAAATTAAATTAATTTAAAATACGATTAAAATTGCAGCCCGGCATTGTGACGATGTCAGAATAAAGAATTGCTCATTTGTATTTAAATTGTCGTATTAATTATTTTAAATATTAATTTATGGTAAACTTTTAACATGTTAGAAAAAAGATTACCCACTGCTAGTGGTGGTGCTGGATGAAAACGTTTATATTGGATGTTTTGGTCTTTGATCTTTCATTCTTCATTTTCAGGCTAATAACATTTACCAATTATACTATCAGAATATATATTTTACTTAATAAACTGTAATTTATGTAAATATTCAAATAATAAATTACCTAATTTGGATAATCATTCACTTATGGCAAAACCTCGCTAAAAAATTTCCAGGACTACATATTTCTATGCAGTGCCTTAACTAGCCATTCCTGCACCCTGTGCAAGAATTTGCATTTAAGCCCCTTAATTAGGTTTGAGAAAATAATAAAATACATGTATTTTGGGCCCCCTTCCAAGTGGACTCTGTGCAGGTGCACTCGTAGTTACGTAACTGTTTCTATGCTACAATTCATTCAGAAAAATTGCAATTCTTTATTTCATATACTTATATGCTGCTTTATAGCTTATAAAATAATGAATCACTAAGCAGAATATTCAGATTTAATATATGTAATCTGAAGCATAAGATATTTTTATCTAATTTGTCTCTCCAGTAAACCAAAAATTATATTTAATAGGAATTTTATTCAAGTCAGCACTTGCAAGTTTGTATTTTTTCCACATTCTTTCAACTCTGAGTAATTTATCAATGTGGGGCAACATAATTGACCATAATTTTCTCTATTAAGGACACTCAACTTGCAATGGGTTCAGCAGGCATATGAGAGTGGAATGGAAAGTTATTCAATTTATCCACAAGAAATTATGGGGCTTGGATTAGATTTTTTCCCCATTTTTCACTCTTCCTGTCTTGTGGGCACAATTGTACCCATCAACGTTTCTGCTAAGCCCACAATGGACGTGGTTAGGTACAGAACCCAACTGATGTGAAACAGACCAAAAAATTCCGTGTCTTTTGACCACGTGGATTCAATTCCAGATCAACAATATGCTGACACCTTAATCACCTCATCTTTCAATATCATCAGCTGGAGCACTTTGCTTCCTTTTTTACTTATTCTTTCCTTCATAGTTACTATTTCTTAGTGGTATACGCAAATGGAATTTAGGCAGTTGGTAATCTTCAATCAGAAAATCATTCTAGTAGCCTCTGATTCAAATGATTCATCCATTGAATCTCTCAAAGCATAAAATTCAATATGTTGGTGTGAGATCACACCAATAAATTGTGCCAATGACAAAGTTCATTAACAAATCCAGACAAATGATGATCTTGTATCTGACAAATATCATCATGAAGATGGAATCATCATAACTTTTTCTTTCTGTATGAGACAGATTTCAAAAGCAGAAAAAAGAAAGTTCTAGATTTAACTATAATTTAGTTAAACAACTGAAAAACTCACACATTAAATCCTTTTCTTCCCTATTGTATACTGTATACATACTTTTACTGAGTTAGGCTATATAGAAAATTGGGTGAATATATCAATATTGAATTAATTAATAAAGAGTGGAAAACAGTAAAATAAAATTAATCAATAAAAGATAAGAATCATTAACAGTTAGAGAAATGATTATATTTAATCTCACTTCTAGAATAAAACATTCCGATAACACCATAGCACAATTTTTATGACTTGCAAAGAATATGGTGATTGAAAACAATAACTGTGGGACAGGTTATTGTTTTCAATCACCATTGTTTGCTGCAGTAGAACTCTTATCTATTGCAGCAAACAACCAATTTGACTCAACACTAATCAACTAATATGAATCTTCCATATAAAATTAAACTCATTCACAATCTTTGTGGTGTGAACCAAACCAAACTCAAGAATTTAATGCCAAATATTGGAGGACTAGAAAGATTAATCTACAATCATTGAATACTGAATTGTCATCAGGTTAAGATGTCAGCCTATTGCTCTGGAGGTTTGGCTGAATGTGTGCGAACAACCCCAGGAATTTTTTGGGGGTTGATCTGTCCCAAATATGTTGGGCCCGACCCTCCCAACCATCAGACGGTGGTGAGGTTGGAGCCCAACATGCTCGGAAGGCTTTTTTCTGAGTTTGGCAACCCAGAAAAATAATCTTAACACATGTAGAACAGAAAGCAATGACCAAAACTTTTACAATAAGAGAGATAATAAATATTTATTGTAATAAATTATGTTTATACATCAAGAAGAATAGAGCAAGCATTTTAATGAGATTTTTTTCAGGAACCAAATGAAGTGACAAATTAAATCAGTCATGTTCCTATTAAAAAAGTTGAAGTAGCAATAATGCAATGTATCTTTACATCCTGCACAAGACCATGTAATATATACAAATAGAAACTGTGGGAAACTTCTAAAATGAGATATTTTTCAATAAAAAAGTGACATTACATGACCATCTTTTACCTTTTGTACAACAAAGATGAGAAAATTGCTTTCTTATATATATATATATTTACAATTTCAAGATTTTTGATACTTCTCATGTTGTTTTTTTTTTATAGGTTTTTTTTTTGTATAAAAAAATTATTATAATCTTGAAAACAAACTCAAATATACACTACATAAAAAGATCTTACAGAGGTCCAGATATGATTTAAATCCTAGATTGCTTCACTTTTGTGCAATTCCTGGCACTCGATATTGCATGGCAAGTGACAGATTTGAACTCATTTGGCATTCATTCACCAGAGAAATTACATTTTACTGTGAAATTTATCAACTTTCTCTTTGTGCAACTGATCATCAGAACAGACTTCAAACAGTACAAATTTATTGCTCTATTGCAGACAATATGGAGTCAAACTTCATGGCAATTGTAGAACATGAAACAGTGAAAATTTCTATTCATGATGTATCATATTGATGACACTCCAGCAGAATTTCACTTCTAAATTGACATTTATGTTAAAAAGTTATGACTAGAAAATGCTTAGTTGAAAATCCTTACAACAGTATAAAAATTTCCACTCAAAAAACTTTTATAAGTCACTTTGTACTATATAAAATGGAATACCTTCTACTTAATTTGCTTTGATATAAGAACAATTTCAAAAATATAATATTTTGATAGTATGTTCTCTCATTCTTTATACTTTTCCATTTATATTTTATGTACTTACAATGAATTTAAAAAAGAAATAGCAAATGTGATAGGCAACAACTGTATAAACTTCCTTCCTTACCGATTTCAATCATATCTTCTAATAATTAATAGTCTTACTTCTCAATCTTCAAAAATAAGTTGCATTAATCATCATCTTCAACTCTACATAATCAGCAATATTGAATTTAAATCTGTCGACACTTAAATCAGAAATTAAACAACAGCTAATTTCAGTTTTAAATCTCATCTCCGACGTACGTATTACGAGATGTATATAGACTGCCACGAAAATTGCCGTCTTAACTATATACAATATTTCTATAAACTTTAAGAGATAAAAACATCATACAGATGTTTTTATCTCTTAAAGTTTATAGAAATATATAGTTAAAACAGCAATTTTCAAAGCATTCTCTAGTAACTAAACAATAAACAAGCAAATAATATGTTAATAGCATCCTTTCTACTTTGATGCTTCATCCTCTTTAAGAAATTTATACACAAGCATATGATATCATTGTGAATGTTTTGGAAGTTTAAGAATTTTCAACATATTTGTACCAACTTTGGAAAAATTTAAACTGTAATCGTCCAGTATAAGCAGCTGTTTTGATCAATAAAACAACTCAATTTACATCCTTTCGGTTATTGGTCAGACAAGATTTAACATTGTGTATATCAATATAGACATCACTGATAATTACATACATTTTATGATATAATTTAATACTCATTTATATAAAAAGCATGTGAAGATAACAAGACTCCACTCTTCAATGTAAATAACTGATTTTACATAATTATAACACAAACTTTGGCTATATTAAAGCAGATAATTAAATACTCATCCATATCTTAAATAAAGAGATCATTTTTTCATTAAACAAACTGTAAATGTCCACTTATAATTTCCCTCATTAGTTGAGTCGTGACTGCAAAACTCAACCGACGTAACATCCACAAAGATATAAAGCCACAGCATTTATAAATCAATGTTTCATCTTCATTTTGAATAAACTTTCTTTGGAATGACTTCAATATAAAAAAATTACTCCATTCATTTAAATTCTTCTATGTTGATGTTGTTACCATTTTAGAGCTTGGCAATCTTTGTAATCAATATCAAATGCTTACATAATAATTCAAAATTGACAATTTATAAAATAAACAGAGCTTTCAACTCTTTGAGGACATCGTTAATTATATTATAGCAGCGTATCATCACTCGGGACAGGCCATCTTCAAAGTCAAAGGTTTACATTCCGAAACATTCTATTCGGTTGTTCAGATTCGTTCGAGAGAAGAATCGTATCAGAAGTTAGCTCGAATCGCTGCCGTTTGATAGCTTGGCAACTATCAGTCGAAACACAACAGTATTAATACTTCATTGTCGCCGTCAATAGGTCCTCCTGCCAAAAAGATGCAACAGAACATCACCAGAAATTGCAATAAGCAGCATCCACAAGGGGATGGCCACAAAATACCACGAGAAACTCCAATCGAATTTCAATTTCCCGCAGAGCAGCACCTGAAATGCAACTTTCAAGAAAATGCAGAATAAGTACCAAAATTTCTTCTGCATGGTAACGAAATAATGATCGTGGCCAAGCCTGCAATGAATCATGATACGAAACAACACGAAACCCATAACTTTGACGTCGAAAACCCACATGGGGCTGAAGATGATGAAGCTGTCCCAATCGATCTTCTCGTCCAGTCGAAGAGTGAAGAGGATGAGGAAGATGGTCCCGAGAACCCACGTGGCCAAAGCTTTATGAATAATAGCCATTTTGCATCCTCTGCACGCCATCTATCGGTGTGATTCAATGTTTATAATCGGAGATAATCGATTAATTAAACTTTTTAAATGATTCCGTTCGATTAATAACGCTTACGAGTCTTTCTTATCGAAACACCGGCCAAATTCGACTAAGTACAGGTGCGAGGAGTAAAGCAGAAAAACCTGTTCACCTTCAACTTCCCTCCTTCCTGTTGCAGTAAATAAAACTTATTCGAAAATTAATTGCGAAATTAACATTAAACTATTAACGCCTATGAGGCGAGATAAATTAATATATGGAGATAACTTCACAATATTGTTAGTGATAATTATTGCGTATATCTCTCTAGATGAGAGTAATGTGATACGGCGATGACGTCAAGAAAGTACTCTAAATGATGCTAATTACAAACATTTAAATGTAATTTATATCGATAGAGTTAAAAGGCGATTTTCCATCTATTTTTTTTATACATTATGATCTTAATAATTACGAAATAATTAAAAACAAATTGATAAATTAAATGTTTCTTAATTTGCATTTTTGAGTATTTAGTTAGAAGAAGCGACGTCCTTAGTTTTTTCAAAATATTTTCTTTGTATTTAAAACTCCAAATTTTATTTTTTTTAATCAATTTGTTACTCTGTAATTTATGCTTTACGAAATTGTATAAAACTGTTTTTTCCTTCCCTACCTTGTACACTTTTTCCTTCACTCTTTCCAATCTGTAGACATTTACGGCCGGATGGCCTAGCGGTTAAGGTGTCGGTCGTCCTGACACTCTTGAAGACTCGGAAACAAATCCGAGCGTATCTAAAACAGCAGGGGCCCACCAGTGGCTGAGCGGTCTTCGTTCCCCGAACACTGGGAGTTCAATCATGGATTCGCGCCTCACTCGGACGGGATGGCCACGTGGAGTTTTCCGGGTTTTCTCCACGTCTGTAACGCCTAAATAGGGACCAATTTCCCTTAAAAAGACCTCCCGGAAGGCATTCCCCTAGGCAAATCGCCCAAGTGTTGCGTTGCCATAACTTAAACTCCACCTTACTCCAAGACTCCAAGACACCTTACTAAGACTCCACCTTACCTTCCGAGTTAAAAGTCTTGCTTCTGATTTTGAACGAACGGGAAGAAAACGTTTCCTAGGGTACGGAGTTTTATACATAATCCCAACGCAATATTTCAGGAATTAGAACGTATTTGGCCCTGATCTTGAATATTATATTCACCAGTTTCCTATGAACTTGTATTTTGCACATTTAGTTGATCTAAATCAATGCTTATGAACGGTGCTTTAAAGTTCTTTTCGTCCCTTTCTTTCACCACCAGGCTGCTTCTGTGGGCACTAAGAGGGCTTTTTTTTAGCAAGCCCATTATGGGCTCATCCAAATTCGCATTGAGGTGGTCCGACATCTAAACGGACCCCCCTGCCGAAAAATTACTGGGAATTTTTAACCATTTCGGACTCAATTCCGTGTTCCCTAGAGAGATGGACTGCCACCCTAACCGCCCAGCCATCAAAGGACGGTAGTTTATGGGAATATACATAATGTAACTTAATGTAAATATATAAAATTTATGACGATTATAGGTATTAGTAACAAATAATGATGTTAGTGTCATGTTTCAATACTATTCTATTATGATTTCTACTGTTTCAACACCCATCGGGCTGCAATTTGAAATTGTAGACCTATAAATTCCCACTGTCGTCCGTCTGTGTATCCTTCTTTAATCTCGAGAACGGAGTTAGACAAAAGTCGAGACCAAATGTGGAAAGGTTAAGCGGCCCCGATTAACTATATACGAACTTCCGGTTTACATCGAAAGTCACGTTATTTCAATTCAAAAATTTTCACCTGAAACGATTTAGATGACCGGCACGGCTCTATTGCTAGCAGGAAAAGTATGATGTACAGAGGCAAGACACTACTAATTTGAGGTGAAGAACAATTTAAAAAAATTAAATGTATGATTAAAAATTGCAGCCTGGTATTGTGAATGTCACAGTAAATACTTGCTCACTATACTGTACATAAATACAGTGGAATATCCATGATTTTGAGAATATGGATTCTATTCATGGCAGATTCAGGAGGACCGAGGCACGTGGGCTCGGCCATTTTCCAGTGAACGTTACTCAATTGCCTTGGAATTAATTTAGTCACTTAATCTTATAATAAACTTGTGAGCACTATGTTGGCCTTTCTTTATTACTAGACTTATTACACCGTCACTAGACATAAAAATGATTTTCTAAGGATGATCTTGTATCTAGTGATGGTGTAACAAGTCTAGTAATAAAGAAAGGCCAACATAGTGCTCACAAGTTTATACCAAGACTAGACAAGAAGCATATCATAGTACTTAATTTTAATTAAGTCACGCGATATGTTTTGTTATATTTATTTTTATTTCAAAACATCAAAACTGATGCTTTTGTACCAAAAGGTGCTATAAGCACCTCCACCTGGATATATCCGCGCATAAAAATGATTTTGCAATTTACAAAACTCTATAGCACCAATGGTAAACATAGAAGAATCCGTGGCAACAATGTATGATTACAATTATTATAAAAAATAAAATGTATGTTTGCGTAAGTTGACAGACAACACCATGTTAAGCGTTAGGCACTGCCTAGAACCCAGAAAAATGTAAAATAAAGGACTAATACTATTTTACAAAAATATAGCTGTGTACTTAGTCTAGTACCAGGGAAAGATTGAAGTGTCCGAGGAGTCCCGAAGTACCCGAAAGCCTAGGGACCCAGCCACGGGTTAGTACGATCTTGTTAATAGGCAGTGGTGATATTCAGCGGGTTCGCACAGGTTCGGCCGAACCCGTTGTTAACATTTTCAAAGTTTTCCGAACCCGTTGTTAAACACACGTAACATTTCTCAATGGTTTTGTTTCTTTTACAAAATATATTAAAAGATACGTATTATACTCTGTAACACTACTAAACTAGAGCCTTATACCCCGTTCGCCATGGTGCAACCTCCATCGACCGTTTCAATCTCGACTGAAACGAGATTTAATCGCGATCGACTCAAGAGAGTTCTTGAAACTAGGTCCAGTCATACGAGAGATCCCACAATCCCACGCGCGCGAGAAAATACAAGATGGCTGCGGAGCACGTGTCGGGCTATCAACAGCGAAATAAGAAAGATATTGTATTTCGAGAGACGATGACATCTGTCTATTATTATAATAATACCTAATGATAAAATAAATGATTTAGAAAAGTTTTTTCTTGAAAAAAAACCAATTTTTATGTTTATAAAATATTTTGAATGAAAAATATTAAAACATGTACAAAATAAACCAGTTTGAAACTTTTTTATTATTATTTATCAAAAAATATAGTTCTGGCATAAACAATGTTTAATTTTAACTGACTTAATTTTGCCAACGCATTTTTTTTATTTATATGGGTATCTTAAGGTCAGTTTTTGCGCTAATATTGCTAATGCGAGCGAAAAAAAATTCTCAAGGAAAAATTTTCTGTAGCGAACCCTTTGTTAAATATTTCGAATATCACCACTGTTAATAGGAATGAAATTAAATCATTTTTAAGGGTGATTGGAAGGTCAACTATGCTTGCCATATGCATAGGTTCTAGTTTGTATCCAAGTTTGGTCTTCCTGAGCAATTCCGAAGATCCGATCTGGATTCAAATCCTCAGAACAATAACACGATGACTATCTTTGAGAATTCTAAAAACGTCTGAGCATAGTTCTTTCGAATTATTAATCTCCCTCTTTCTGTTATTAGGTCACATAAAGATGAAATAAATTTTGCTTTCAGTAATGAGATAACGCTCAGTAGAATCCCTAACATTCTTAAGTACTTATGCAAAAAGATGGTCTCATACATGTCAGATGGTGAGATTACTGGTCTGTCTCATACATGTCAGATGGTGAGATTACTGGTCTGTCTCATACATGTCAGATGGTCTCACCATCTGACATGTATGAGACAGACCAGTAATGAAAAATTCCCAGAGGTTCAGAATCCAGATCAGATATTTCTGAATTTTTCATAGTCATAGGTCAATATCTTAACCCATAACTATAAAAACATTCTAAGGATGTATTTTAATTTTATCAACAGTTTTTACCCTGGGAACACTAAAATTACCTTTCAATCATACCCATTATATTCTGTCAGGCCCACCACAGGAACACCTTGGCAGCAAGTGAAGACATTTCTGAGACAGATTATCTATGAAAAATTTCCAAGGTTCTTAAACCCAGACTTGAATCTAAGTCTCCAGAGTAGCAGGCTGATAATTTTACCACCCAACCATCAGGTTATCTATTACATTAGAATCTAGATCACTAATAGTAAATGAGACTTTGCCTCTACATGCAATTAAATGAGAAAATAACCTAATTCTTTAAATCCTGGACACTTTTCCTTGTGGTAATCTCATCTTCAACCCAGCCTCAACAAACAACTAGGTGGTAAGGGACGAGGCCTTCAAATCTCAATCAAACCACGTGAAAATTTCTGACTAGTCAACCCCAAAGCCTCAGAACAGGCATATTCTATTACTGGCCATCTGATCATCACCATCATACTGTAATTCACTATACTCTTTTATACTCTCTTATTGTAGCTCCTGTATATTGGACTCCCCTATCCATTATTACTTAGGGGTAGGGATCTGACTCTGGTGCTATTCCTCTATATGTATATGTATATGTACAGTGGGTGATCGGTTAACGAACATATGTTCGGATAACGAACACTTCACTGAACAAACACAAGAAGCGACGTAAAATAACGAATACCGATTGGTCTTCCTTTGTCTTCAGGCAACAATTCGAAACTTTTCGGAGCGCGGGAGACGTCGACATCGACGTTCTACCCAGTATATACTGATCGGATAGTATTCCCCCGAACTTTGAAACTGTCCCTTGTAATTCCAGCCTTTTGTATTTCTGACAGAAACAATTCCTTTACGTTTTCTTCTGAAAATACGGATTTATGCCGATATCCG